CAAATGGACTGTAATGTTACAATTGAACCATAGCGGCAACAACTTTCTGTGGAAACAGAATAATTGTCTAGGATGTTGATTCCATTTGGCAACCATCATACTGGACCAGAAAACTGTGTAGCCACTTTTTTAAAATACTGTCTGTGTTTAGGACAGGTCTTTGAAAAATAATTAATTGATAAATATTATTATTTCAAAGATGTTATTTTCCTCTTATACCTATGTATCATTCATTCAAGAATTTATAGTTTTTAGGAGGGTATTGAATTAGTTTTGCTTTTTTTTTTTACCCCTGTTATTTTCTGACTTACAAATATTATGAGTTTATTCTTTTTATTCTTAGCTTAAGGACAAGGTTCTATATTGTATTCTGTTGAACTTCCAAATGTGTTGGAAATAAAATGAAATAACACCTAGTCAGACTTTAAACTGGTACCCTGTTTATATTGATAGAAGGCAGTTGAAGATATTAAAATCTAACAGCATCCTTGGAATTATGCTTAAAGTTTAAGGAAACACACGAGAAGTCCCACAAGAGGATGATGGGAATTACAGTAGAGAAAGTGACAGAAGACATTGTAAGTGGATGCAGGATTATCCCTGCGAGGACAAATGTTGAAGTGACACGAGGACCTCCACTTAGACCAAAGCACCTCAACACCTCCACTGTCTGTTGACATGAGGGTGTAACGCCACCCTCATGTCGCTGCGGCCACTTAATCCAGAGGTGTGTAGAGCACACGAGGAAAACGATAATCAACTCACTCAAACAAAAGTCACCCACACAAGGACAGAGTGTGACTTGTCAGTGCACCTAATTAATCTCCTTCCTGTTTGATTTTCCTCTTTGTTTCTTAAATTTCTGTTTGGCTACTGCAGGCACAACATCTGGTCCTACTGAGAACAGAGACTTTCTCACACACAGAGACAAGCACTTACACTTTGACGATTAACACAATTGCTAGGGCATTCAAAAAGTGATCTTTGTGACCAGAAAAACAAACATACAAAAATCTTAATTAAAAAAATGTAGGAAAAGTTAATCTGTAGGATAATGTCTGCTTTGGCCAACAGATCAAATTAGCAGGTATAGCTAAAATCCAGTTACATTACATTAATATAGTATAAGTTAATATAAGGTCGGTCTGGAAACAAAAGCTAAAATAACAAGTAATACAATAAAAAACCAAAAGCTAATTCAAAGCAATGCTGACAAAATTGCTAAATTACCGCAAAGTTGAGGAAAGAACAAAAAATGTATCCCGGAAGTAGCTTAAAGCTAGCACAATGATAGTGCTCTAAAACGCCACAAAACAAAATGGAAACTAGCTTAAAGCTAGCACAATGATAGCTACAGCATTGTTGAACTACTGCTCTAAAATGCTACAAAACAAAACAGAAACATTCTGGACAACACATAAAATCTCAATGATGGTACACTGATGTTAAAAAGGAGAAAACAGAAGATGCTAAATATAATACAAGGTTAGCATCTTTACTCCAGTCACTGCCGGTTCACCATGAATCAATCATTTGTTTTCTAACTTAAAACATCTTCTAATTATTTTCACACAGGCCAACAACAACTGAGACTGCAGGAAAAATGAACAATGATTGTAGATAACTCCACTCTAACTGTAAACATAACGTTGGATTCAACCCACAACAAGCAGCCCAGGAGGAAGGCAGCAGATGGAGACACATTTGCTTCCCCAACATTTGGACAGGACAAGACACCAGATGCTTGGCTTTGATCAGTACGTGTTCACTTGGACTTTTGAAGGTATGATGGAGCGAGAGGCACAAAGAGCCAAGGCCAAATATCTTGGCTTTGTAGAGACAACAGCTGGAAGGAACAAACCAGGAAATCGCTCCACTTCATTAAAGACCCAGCAGGACGGCGACAGAGCTTTACTCTAGTCTCCTCCCACTCCTTCCATCACTCCACTCCTCCCTTCTGTTTGTCATTACACTCACTTGGTTGCAAACATCTTTCCTTCACTCAATACACAAGTTTAATTCACATCAGTTGTCTGGGTATCACTGACAGGTGTGACCCAAAATGTAGATTTATTTTCTAAAAATATTTTATATCTTCCGCAGACTTTAAAACTAGGTGTTCAATTCAACAGAATTATCAGGTTTTTTATTACTGTGGCCCTATCTAAACCCGTGATCTTTAGTCATGTAGGTATTTTTTTATATTCATCCTTAACTTATTTATTGTTGAGGACTTAATCATAAACAATAAAACTTTACAAACTTATTCCAAAAATATTGCTATAATAACGTGATAAAGCTTTCAATGACACACAAACTGCAAAAACCTGGCTCTAAAAGTCAAACAAAGGTTAGGCTAAATATAGATTTATTTTAGTCGTAAAATAGCCACAATTAAAAATAAAACAAGTGGAAAAAATGCTAAAGAATCTACACTTAATTATCATCATAGTTTTAAAGGGTAGAAAGAAATATAGTAGCCACAAAACGTTCTCGATTGCTAAAATAAAAAGCCTTTTAATTGTTGTAAAGCACGTATAAACAATACTTCGAAGGTCACTGTGTGGAGTCCATATGTTGCCCAAACAGATTTTATTCAAATTAGAAACAAAGACTCATAATAACATAAGCCCTGCAGTACTCACTTTCTAAAATCCTGTGGCCAGTCTGAGTTTTTTTTTTTTTTACAAAACAGCATTTGTAGCACCCCCTAGAGGGGAGGGAATGGAGCTACATGCTTCTAATCACTTGCTGTCCAGACCAGAAGTGTGTGTGTATTCTTCCAGTATTTAGTGAGAAGCTGTGACTTCTAAGCTCGTCTGACCTGATCCCCCTACAGTTTGAAAGTGTGTGTGAGTGTGTGAGTGACTCTAATCTTTCCACAGTGGATCCCTGCAGAGCTGCTTTTTCTCAGTCAAATCAGTCAGACTGCTCGGCTGCAGCAGGACGTCAACTTCCCAAAAGTGTGTTTGACAGTGGGTTTGACCTGATACTTCACCAACAGAGTCATTTATTGTTAACATGATACTGATGTTTGAAAGAGAGGCAAGTAATCTGAGGGAAATGTCTGGCAACAACCCGCTCTCAGCAGCAGTGTTTTTGAACAATTTTTGAAGTTTGCAACAATGTGCACAAAATAATTCACTTTTTCATTCTCATTAACTTTTGACATCAGGTTCTGCTTCACTGGGACTAGTCTTTGTCCCTGTTTGGGTTCCTGGTCTTCAACATTAGCAACAATGAAAGAAATGGTCCTAAAACACACACACACACGCTCTTTTGGCATCATTGACCCTGTCAGTAATAGCTGATCACTTCATGATTTGCTCATTCACTGAGTGATGACCAGATCTCCCCCCGCTGCACAAAAGAAAACACCTGTTTGAAGCTGCCTAATCCTAGCCAGCAGCCCAACTCTGGAGGCTCTTTGGGGCCCGTTTAATCCGCACAAGGGCACCAGGCCAAGGCCAGGGTAGATTAGACCCCTGCCATCCGTCCACGCACACAAATCTCAGCCTCTGCCCCCCATAACGAGGTTGAATTGGCCCCTTAATCCATGGACTTGGTGGAGCCCTCCAGCCACGCACACACCTCCCCCCCCCCCTCCTCCGGCAAAAAAACATAATCCCCATGCATCTCCGTCATAGTCCGACAAAGCCATGGCCCGGCCCAGCACTCACTTAGCCCCCCTAATCCACCACCTTTTCCCTTCTCCTGTGTGTCTGTAAAGCCATTGATTTTTTGATTTCTCTTCCATTGTCTGTGGCAGATCAAGTGTTAACGAGACAACCAGAATCCGAGGCCTGGTGCCAGGACTTTTGGCACGGGAGATTAGGGTCCTGATCTGGGCATCTGTCGCTGCCCTGGTCCCCTGTGTGTCTCTGGTTTTAAGCCTTTACTTCAGCCATTTAAAGAGTTAAATCTAAAGAAAAGATGACCCTAACATGAAAAATGTTAAAGTCATTCATAAATCTAAGAACAGGAAGCAGGAAGTTAAGGAATTCTTTCAGACAATAAACAAATACTCATTGCATCTGCACAAAATCAATCCACACCTTTTGGCAGTGTACACACATAATTCAGCAGAGTCCACTCACACACAATTTAATTTACATTGTTATGATGTTTAAACTCACGTCTGTTTCTTTCCAGACAGGTAATAAAATGCAAATAAATAAGAGACAGAATATAAAAATATTTTGTGTTATATAACTAGTTAAATGGATATCAGACAGAATGATAATGATGTTCATTGTTTCAAGTCAGATCATGAATCATATTTAAACACTGATCATTTGAGGTTATTTATATATATTAAGAACTTGGAATGGGCCCAAATCTTTTATATTTTTCCTATTTGATTAGTATTAATAAATGGCTTTTTTTTCCTATTTTGTACCAGACTTAACCTCAGTCCATTCACCTCTTCACAATAGGTACATCATAAGTGTAGCTTATTTGCCGTATCACAATCACAGATACTTCTTTGACCTTTTAATTCTTTATATTTCTCCTCCGTTGTACCTTTAATACTTTGCATGTATGAATTTCCATTTTGCAATAGAAAATTATTTTTGTCAGAGAAAAGTGTCTTTTTTCCTGTCATACAGTATAAAGCATGTGATGCATTTCATTTCCAGAGGCCTTTCGTACACGAACATCAGAAAGACAAGTCCTTAAAACATCGCGAGTCAGACACAGCATAGAGAACGTCATTGGTAGAAATTGTTTTTCGAGCGTTGTCTCCATCTAGTGGTAAAGTATAATGTACATGCAAGTCAGTGTGGTGTTTTCATGCCTGCAACGACCTCTAAAGGGTATCGAAGGTACAATTTTTTTTAAGAATAAATAAATGATTTTTTTAAATAGGCACATACTGCAGTCACATACAGTTTTAAAAACCTAATTAAAATACATTTTATTACATTAAATATTTAACTACGTTAATGGAAAATATACAGCTTAATTTATAGAAGATCAAAATAAAAGTGCATCAAACACAACGTTCATGGTTTTTTTTAATAAGGCACAAAGAATGCACAATCTGATTGTGTGACAATTGTATTCATTTTGAAATTATTTCAAATGTTTCCTAAAAAAATAAAAGGACGACAAAGGAATTTGTCATGAGGGAATGACTTAACTGTCTGGTTGATGAGTTGTTCATTTCAGACCTCTTTTTTTTAAAACACATTCATTTATAATGCCATGGATAGGAATTTTAAACTTTCACAGCTGAAGTCAAGACATCTTAAAAACAGGAGATATGTCTCCAGATACACAAAACTGCTCTAAAACAATGTTTTTTCTAAACCAAACTATTGTAAAATGTGCAAATACCTGATGGTGTTGGTTAAATGAATGAACTAGAACTGTCAGCATGTTGGTTGTGTTCCCAGGCTTCACCCTAACATGACCCAGAGAACCACATTTCCAATGTTGAGGAATATGACTTATTACAAGGAGATGACCTTGTCTGTGGGCAGCAGTGGGTTGACACCGAGTCTCTGACCACACTCATTCTGCAGACAGAAGATTCATTAAATTGATTTTGGGAAATGAATGACATTAAGTAAATCAATGATTGAATGAAATGCCTGTCTGTTATTATCCAAGAGTGATGTGACCAGTTCAACAAGTACAACAAGTACATGCAGTATTTCAAATGATTCTCCGTGTTATGCGAAGTACTATTTTAGTCAAGTAAACTTGTTGACAGGAACTGCAACGGTCAGGGTTTAAGTCTTGATGCAACAAAGAAGTTCAGTTTTCCGTTTTGTCATGTAAACAAAGAGTCAACGTGGCGTGAGCTTTTTAAAAAGTCTTACCATGAAATTGACGACATTGATGTGGTAGGGAATTCCACCCAACTCCTCACACTTCTTCATGTTCATTCTCTCTGGGTCTCCAGCAGCCAGGACGGGATGTTCAGAGTCAGCCTGGAAGAAGAAGTAGTAGAAAAAAATTTAAAAAAACAACTTCATAAAACTCTTAATTTATGTTTTGTTTTTTTTGTTTTTAAATATCAGTTCACACATTCTCTCCTCAACTTCATAAAACTCTTAATTTATGTTTTTGTTTTTTTTTTAATATCAGTTCACACATTCTCTCCTCCTTTTATACACCAGTGTTTACTCACAGGCTCCAATTCTCTTTGGATGGACAGAAGGTCAGACATCCTGTCATTGAAACCAGAAGCAAAGTTTTCCGGGTTGATGGCCACAAAACACTGACCCTAAATATATATATAAAAAAAGATCCAAGAAGACAGTTAATCTGGTCTATTTCTAATCTAGAAAACCAGAGGAAACTGGTGAAAAAACACAGATAGACGGCATGGGAGTCCCTGACTTTTTAATTGCTGTAACTTTGTCGTAAAAACCACTACAGATAAAAAGGTTATTTTCATCTGTTTTGGAGAATAACTTTACAGTAAGGATAGAAACTGTCTTAAATTTACATATATATTGAAGTATATTATTAATATTTATTCCATTATCTATAATGAAAAGAACAAAAATATCAAACAACCGTACCAGATTAGCAATTCTGTCTGTTACTTTCCACGTGCGGATGTGTTTACTGTACTGGGCGCCGGCTAAGATCCCGCAGAACAATTCCACCATCATTCCCAAACCGTAGCCTTTGTAGCCTCCTGAAAACAAAACAAAAATGTCCACAATACAATAGGCTCACATCAATGATCTGGTGTTCACAGCACGTGTGTAAAACCAGGTGAAGAGTGAGTGGGGATTTCCACGACATGAATGTTGTACTTTCTGAATGAACTAAAGGTCAATCTGGGTTCTGACCTGTGGCTTCACAGCCACCAATGGGCACCAGTCCTCCTCCGTTCAGGACTTTCTTGGGATCTGGAGTCAGTTTTCCCTGAGCATCACAGCCCCATCCTTCAGGAATGGAGTCTCCACGGCGATCGTGCAGCTCCACCTGCCGAACAGAAACAGGAAAACTTAAGAAATATGATACAGTAGATGTCATTTAAAATCAAACATTTCTCCATTCTTAAGTTGCCAAGTTAATTGCAAAGATGATCTGTTTAAATGCATTTTTCCATACTAATAACTCCATCATTTGGATAAGACAATAGAACAGGTGTGAAACATAGAAGCATAGAAAAAAAAATCCAGAGCTGCCCTGGGTTTGTGATCACATTATCACAAGACCTGATGTTAGCTTATATGAATGACACCACACTAACTGACACACTAGTTTAAATATTCAAATAAAACAGCTCTAAAAAACTATAACAATAAAAGCTGCAACACTAAGTCACGCCCAGACAGATGTTACTAATCACCAGTTAAGCTGTAGCTTCACCTACTGTCATCCCTACACAGATATAGTGCTGTATGCTGCATTTTTGTGTGTTTGTCATGTGACTGTGAGAATGTTGCCGTCCAGTTTCCCAGAGGACAACAAAGCTCAAGTGTCAGAGTTATAAATAGAGTGATCCTGCCTCTATTGTCTTACCTTTCCCAGTGCCACTGCCGACGTGGCCATGTCCAGAACAAAGCTGTCTCCATCACGGGCAGGAGCCGCCACACTGATGGGGTTGGTGCCCAGAGTGCACTATGAATAGCAGCGTCACACAAGATAAGAATGAGAAACTCGCTTTGTATTTTCCACATTAAGTCATTATGCAAATACTTATAAACAGTTATACACGGTCTGATTGTACTGAGTAGTAGTAGTAGTAGTGATGTATTTACCTCTTTACCACGGGTAGGGACGACCAGTGGGGACGTGTTGGTGAATGACATGCCCTGTTTTCAATCAGATCAAAAAACATCAGGGAAAAATTAAAAAATGTTGATACAGAGAAACAAATATAAACATCGGTTGGATAAATAATATATGGCTATAAAAGGCTGTAGAATCCACAATTAAAAACCAAACGTGGACACTGTGTGATCGACAGCCGGGCCGTCCAATCCTAGACTACATCACAGGATCGTCCACTGGTCAGCTGTCTTTAACTGGGCTGTCTGTCTTTTGTCCGACCTCATGGTCCAGACCTGTGCTGGGCTCCGGGGGTTTGGTACACACTGTCCTGTAGAGGCCCTTGTGTAAATATTGAAAACAGGGCACCAGGCAAACATGACCTTGACTCACAATCATGTTGCTCTTCAGAGCCTGCATGGAGTAGTATCCCGCAATACCGTAGTGATTGGAGCCTATGAAGACAAATACACATAAAAAATATGATTTTACATCAATGATGTCACCACTGAGGAGGTGAGTTCAACATGAAATGTTTGTCATCAGCCAAAAGACATGTTGCATTGTTGCAGAGTTGTGTTGAATGACTTTGCAGGTCCATAAATGACACACCTCGGAGTGATGTGATTTACTGTACCTGCAGGTCGGACTCTGGACGTGTTCTCTATAGATTAACTTTTCCTCATTGGAAAAGAACCACTCACAGTTGGCAGTATAATGATAAATCACATGACATCGGAGCCTCTCACCGTGTGCCACCACCCAGCCGATGCCGACTTCTTTGGCCTTTTTAATGGCTAGGTCCATGCAGAAGTTCCCCACCACTGGACCCAGCAGGTTCTTCCCATCGACCAGGGCCGTGGCCGGGCTCTCCTTCTCTATCACCGGCTCACCGTCCTTTTCACAGATTTTTGTCTGAATGTCCTTCACGTACATGTCTAACAGGGGAGACACACACAGAGGAAGGACTCAGACATTAAGGAACCGGTTTAATTTGCATTAAAGCAGCATAACACGTCCCCTTTAAGTGGAACGAGAGCGGCCCACTGACCCATCCTGTTAAGTCCGTGGCTGTAGTGGCCTCTGTGGTCACCCTCCACCAACACCTCGGCCAGGCTGCGTGCATGATGTGGCTTGGTGCCCACGGCCCCCATACATCTCTCAATGAAGAGCTGCACCTCCGCCTTGGTAATCAGACATCTGCAGCGAGAAAATGTTCAGTCAGCGTGGTCTAATAAAGTTCAAGGTCAAGACAAGGCAGAGATCTTTGGAGAAAATGTTGGATGTTACATGAAGAATAGCTTCAACATGGTACTTTAGTGATATCTTAACCACAGCAGAGAGAGAGAGAGAGAGAGAGAGAGAGAGAGAGAATCCACAGCTTTTGTAGGTTGTATTTCCTGCATGTGGCCCCTTTACCCTGTTGGTATGTCCTTTGGAACACATCTGGAAACCATCAAGCCCTCAGTGTGTTTTAAAGCTGGACGTTTTATTTACATCACCTCTGAAAAATGTTACAAGAACCAAACGCTTACATAAGAAAGGAATGGTCGAAGTTCAATGAACAGAGATGAGGCTGCATTTACAGTACATTGTTTGGTTGCTGTGAAGAAATGTTGGTTTTTTGATAACAGCTACTTTGACCGAAAAAAAAACAAAAAAACAAAAAAAAAACAAAACTTTTTCCTTTTTGCTCCACATTCTGTCAGACTGTGTGTTTTAAAATCCATGGTCCAACGTTGCAACAGTGTCCACACACAGTTGCTCTTGTGAAGACCCAAGAAAAAAAAAATAGTGCAGCAGTTCGCTTAACAGAAAGCTCACTTAACCTAATCCTAATCCTGCATGAGATTGAGAGCTACCTGAGAGTAACACCCCAACACTCACCCCAACACTCACCCCAACACTCACCCCAACACTCACTCTAATCCCCTGTAAACTGTACAGTAAACATGATGAGTTAGAATATTGAGACAGTGATGAGTTTCTTTGTTCAGGTATCAACTGAATAAATATTCATTGTTACTGTAAGAGAGTGTCATGTGTTCAAACACAGCACAGGCGGATTAAAGTGACATCTACAGCAAAACATGTATTAGGTAAAGTCTTCATATCTAAAGCCTTTTAATCATTCTTTTAAAAAGTCCTTCAAATGTTATTAAACCACTGTTAAAATTGTCGTTACGCAACAGGAAGTGTGGGCCAAACTCAAGTAAACATCACGTGGTAATAGACGAAACAATGTTAAACAAAAACACTCTTCGCTCGTCAGTCGTGGTGTTAAACGTCTGTCGTTCCTGCTCTTGTCTTCATTTCCCATTACCCTTCGCTCCCCCACGTTTCCTGCTCAGTGCTCTGTGGTATTTGGTGGGGACTGGAGGAAGGGTTTGTGTTGTAACTTTTGGAATGCACTATAATTGAATCATGATATCATTTGCAGACAGCCCCCCAGAGTGGAGAGCACTTCCTTTCCCAAAGATATAGTTCTGTACAACCAGTTTTAGTCAAAATGCAAGTCACTTTATCTGCTGCCCTTCAGAATGGCAGCTCTGTGTAAATTCAGGCATCAGACGCTACAGAAGGATTCTCAGTCAATACTGTGTCTGATCTAAAGATATTTGCTTCTAAATTCATTCCACTCTGGGTTCAAATTCTGGATTTAAATCACTTTTGCAGCTCAACACAACTCAGTTTTCTTTAAGAAAATGTTATTTGAAAATCCAACAGTCCTCCACATTTCTCACTCTTTGTGTGCCTCACTTTTACTTTGGACAACTGACACCTTCATGCTTTAGCGCCTTACATAATTTTGACAGCCCCACCCCTTTTAAGACCCACAAGTTGGAGCTTTACATTGGCCCATACATGTAAAACAGGAACTGCTTCAAGTCAATGTATGAAACGACATCGAGCTCCTGACTTTTAGTCTCCCCACATACTGTATCTGAGGAAGAAATATTGACTGTTTTTATTACTTTCACATCTTTAATTCATCAATAATTCAGTCCAAATAACAAAATGTAAGTACTTCCACTTTAAGTCCCTGTACCTGTGCAGTTTCCGTCCATTGTTTCCTGTCTCTACACTAAGCTAACCAGCTGCTGTCTATATTTAGAGTTCATACAACAGAGGCTCACAAACCCTCTTTCAAAGACAGTCAGAGTCAATACCATCAAAACACCAGGGGCAGATACTGTGACTAAAATGAGCGATCATTAAACTGCATAAACATCCGTGACAGTCTGTGACTACGACTGCATCAGTTATTATAGTAATGTCACTAAATTCAAGTCAGAACTTTTCAAAGACTCCGTGCGTTCGGCAGCAGATGCTAAAGGTAATGTCACTAAATTCAAGTCAGAACTTGCTAAAGAGAAAACACTTTTCATCCTTGATTCTTGTTGTAGCATGTTGCCAGGTTGTTTCCCACACAATGGGCTTTTAAAGCTTTACCAAATGAAAACAAATAGGGTATTTATGACCTGGGTGCCTCTTTGTTTGGACACCCTTCAGGGCAATTGTTAGTCAGGAGTGATCAAAATACCACAAATATTAGTTCTGCAAGGATTAGTTAAATGTGTGTCTGGTCATATGCTGCAGTAATACTGTGTAATAATGTGACTAAACCTTCTTGGAGTTGTGAAACATCTTTGACTTCCCATATTTTGACTATATCTTTTTTGTTTGGAGCAAAAACAAAACACTTGACATTTTCTTTTCTTTTTTCACGTTAGAGGAATTCGTGCACAGTTTGTGCACGTGTGTTTTACAGAACAACTTGAAAGTCAAGTGAGCTAAGAATACTGCGTGATGAAAATACAGTACTAATGAGCATATAGAGTAATGTGAACTGCTTTGTTACTGTAGCACAAAGGCAGCGATTGTGGTAAAAAAATATGCACATTTTTCTCTGACAAAAAAAGAGAGAAAACTTTCAAAGACGCTTCAACCCACTTAGTACATGAAAGAAAGGCACACATTGAACGCACAAAAAAGTATTTAAAATAATCTTTAGTCTTTCGTCACACGTGCCACTTTATCAAAACACTGATCTATGCTGAAAACCCGTGCAGGTCTGAACGCAAAGCTTTCTTTCCTGGCCACAGATGTGAAACTGTAGCCCGTGCTCAAATCACTGACTCCAGCTGAACTTCTGAAGGTTGAGGAGCTCCTCTTACCTGCTCATGGTGAAGTTCTGGGTCTTTGTGCCTCTTCAGGTTTCAGATGAGACGCTCGGTGCAGTGGAGAGTGACTGACCCACAGCTGGTGTCAATGATCATTTACTGCGGCTCCACCTCCTTGTTTTTCGAGTTCTGTTCAACCCCACCCCGCTGTTGCCAAGTCTACCAGGTACAGCCAGTATCTATCAGTGTTTGTGTGGGCGTGTTGGAGGAGGAGTAGGAGGAGGAGGAGGTGAAGGAGGAACATATATGTACTGTATCTCTGTTTCCTGGTGTAATGTTTCTACAGGAGAACTTATGTAAACTTTGTATGTCACTGCTGCTGCACG